TTATGATACTTGGATTTTAATTTTAATTCCAATTTCATTATTGTATTTAGATTATTATCAAGGATTTAATAGTTCAATTGGTACTTTTGGTGGAGTTATGCAAAATATTGGAGGCAAGTTTAACGTATTTGCTTGGTCTTGCAATTGCTTAGATGGTATATACCATTTTTAATAATATTTCGATTTTAAATTAGATTCTCAGGAAAGAGTAAAGGAAATGAAGTCACAACTTAAAACATGTAAAGAGACTTTAATGTCAAAACGTTCAGATCTCCTTCAATTATGGTTCCGAAGTCAGCAATATAAAGAGATGATTCGTATATTAGATCAAATGTAAGCATATCGCGGTTTGCTATTAAAATCACGTTACAGATCATATGATTTACGATGATGTGTCGCACTCTATTTTATAGCAAATGATCCACGATATTTTTTTTTTTTTAAAAAATATATATATATATAATCTTTTGTTCATTATCTTTTTCTTTGTAGAGAAGAGTTTAAGGAAACGCCAGAAAAGCTGGAAGTTTTGTTAATGGAAAAACATTTTTTAACAGCCGCTAAAATGCTATTGGATGCAATAAAAACTTTGGAGAAGAAAGAAATGATTGGAATTGGAGCTTTATCAGATTTAAGGAGATATCTTAAAGCGCAACAAAGTGTAAGAGTAAAATTAATGATCTTAATAATGATTAAAGTTATTAAATTTCATTACCATATTACATTTTAGTCACTCCATGAACTGTTAATTGAGGAGTTACACAATCATTTATATCTAAAAAATTCATATTGTGATAGTAGATGGGTAAAATACACTAAAGATCAGAAAACGCGTATGAATTTAGAAATTATTTAAGTTTTAATTATTGTTAAATTATGGCTTGACGCTGAATACGTTCATTTGTACAGTGCCTTCACCGCTAATGGAATGGCAATCTGGAAAAGAAACCCGCAAGATAAGCTATATGACCTTAAAGAATAAGAAGAATTTACAAGGTAAGCAAAACAATCCTAAAATATTTTTTATTTATTTTATTTTTTTGTTATTAATAAATGATATATAGTCAATACTGGTTTTACTATGAGCACGCCGCTTAGCCCCAAATCGCCTAAACCCTTAAATAATAACATAACATTTAACGATGAGGATGAGATGGTAAGTTACTTAAACGTGTATTTATTCAAAAGATTTTTATTAATTCATACAAATATTTATAAAAAGATCGTAGAAAATCTTGAGATAAATCCCGAAACTGACTCATTCTATTATTTGGAAATTTTAATTGAATCTCTCTCTACTTTGAAAAAATTACCACAAGCTCTTGAGGTAGTAATTTACTTTATGTTACATTTGCTATTATATTATGTGTTCTAATACAATTGATATATTAGACTATAACACAGAGGATTCCAATAGAATTATATCAGTTAGTTGATAAAACAATTGCTGAAGTAGAAGAAAGGTATTAAATAATATAATAGTCATTTTTATGAGTTTTTAAATATAAATCATATTATTGAATATTCTATGCGTTTATTACAAGACACAAAATTTTTAAAAAAATGTTTAAGAGATTTTTTCTATTCAGTTATCAAGTTTGACTGTATATTGCCAAGCTTTTTGAAATAATTTTATTAATTTAATTTATTTATTTTTTTTTAATATTTTTTTTTTAGGAACTCTGAGATTTTTAGTCAAAAGTCAAAGATAAATGATGTAGCAGATATATTTGCACTAGATTATCCTGAGAATGATGCTCAAATGGAAATATTAAGAGATTTACTTTGGACTCTATATTCTAAATTAGATGCAGTATTACAGGGTCATAGGTTCATACTCGACATTGTGGAGAAGATAAGCAAGGTTAGATTCGTCATTAAATTTACTATATTTATTTCGAATTCAATAAGGTCTTAATATTTATGTTTGTTCACAGAGACAAGAGTATCAAAAAAGTGGTGAGTACCACTTATTTTATTTTATATATATTAATTACTTGGTATTCAAATATCATTAATATTCTCACCTAGATTCACAAAATATCAAGGTGTATTCTTTTATTGAGATTTGGAAGCCTGTACAAAGTGAGGTATAAAAAATAATTATTATATCTTATTGTTATATTGGTCTAATTATTTAAATAACACCTTTTTTTCTAGGTTCGCACGCTTTTACGTGATTATATAACAGAAGATGAGAGAGAATCTATTTCTGAAAATACTTCTGAGGCGTCCATTCAGGAAATGATAAAGGACAGGCGAGCTCGTGACGCTTCCAAGGTTTTTATCATCAAAATCACTGAAAATAAAAATTGAATCTTTATTGTTAACTTTATATTTTCTTTATGTAGCAATTATTTAGATTTGGGGATTCAGATACAACGTTAAATGAAGAATTAAATAAACAATATAAAAGAGATATTTCAACAGTACTTCAAAATTCAATGCCAGAAGTATTTGCAAAAGTACCAGATGAAAGACAATTATCTGCATTTATAGTTGATAGATTTGCAAATGCAAATATCACGGCAGGACATAAACTTGTTATTAAACCCGATGCATTTAATGTTTCAATTATTTTTAAGCCTACACTCGCGTTTTTAGATAAAGTTAAAAAAATTATACCATCAAGGTAAATTGTAAGTCAAGTATACAAATATAATAATTAATACTAATTAATTTAAATAAAATTTTGCGTTATGTTTTTAGTGCGCATCAGTCGTCTGCAGACTTCACAACTTTCTTGGATGACTTTGTCTTTAATGTATTTTTACCGCAGATTGGTGATAAAATATTTGAAATATTTCGTCAATCCACAGCTGGTAATAATTATTAAACTTATGAATTATCTTTATACTTTAAAATAAATTATTAAAATTTTATGCTTAATATAACCTAGAATCAGATGCTTTCCAAGAAGATCCAAATTACAAGACTTATTCTGCATTGCCAGTTATCAAGGTGGATTTTTTTTCTTTTTATTTTTAAACCTTTGGAGAATGTCCTTTTTTATTAAAATATATTTTTTAGAGCGCATCTTCATTGATGATGATTGTAGAAAGTCTTTGTGCCATGCTTCATAATATGGCAAGCCACAAAGAAGAATACAGTAAAATGATCATCTCTCTGCTTACACAATATTATGTGAAATGTTTTGAACAATATCAAGGTGATTTATCTTATGTTCTCTTCCCTTTTATTTGGGATAAAAAAATTTAAAAACTTAAGTACATCATTTTTTCGGGGGCGTTGGAATATAGCAACCGTTTCAAAGAACAAAGGAGAAGCAAATGTAAAAGACGATGCAAATAACCAGGGTATTAGTGCTACCTGGGTACAACAAGATCAATTGTCCGAGGTTTTAGGACAATATCCTTACGTTGCTGAAGATAATGCTAAAAATCGACGCAAACGAAGACAACTCTGTGATAAGGTGATTAATACGTTTTGATTTACTATCGTAAATTATAGTTATAATTTAACTTTTTTTATTCTCATTAGGAAACCAGAATTGAAATGAATTTTAAAAAGAATCGTGAAATTAGTTTAGGACAGTTAATTACCGATAATAAGAAATTAACAGCTTTGGCGAACCTTTATCACAGCTTGGTAGGAAATGAATCCTGAGATTTATTTTGTGATAACAAAATTTTCGAATTACTGATTGCTATTAATTTACTTAGAAATGGTTCGTTGCCAAAATTTGGGAACTTCGTGGCAAAGATTCAACAGGCAACCTACATTCGACTAAAATGGATGATGGAAATTTGGTAAATATGGAAATACACCACATTTTTGTTCGAGTATTATGTTACATAAATATAGTAATTTTCATGTTTGATTCATTGTCAGGCCAAAATAAATCGTCGTTGGTCATCATATGGTGATGTTAATTTTAGTTTAAATGTCGATGATGAAAAGAAGAAAGAAAATGGGGATAGAGAAATTAGCTTACCTTTAACGGGAGAAATGGCAAAGTATATTTGATTTATGACTATTTTTACTTATCGTAAATATGACGGGATTATTTTTTTAATTCATGAATTTTTGGAATAGTCGATTTGATGCCCTATTGGCTACTTTTCAACAGTTGGCTGAGCAAAATCTGTTCACTTTAAGAATTGAACTACGATGCCATACATTACATTATCTTGATAAAGCGATGCGTGAGGTAATATATTTTTGACTTTATAATAATAATTATTAAAGCGGTTGAGTTATTTAAAACATTCCTTCGATAATTGTAGGGCAATTATCAACTCGAATATGAAGCATACGAACCTGATCCATATGTTTTAACACTTAATGCGGACATGGTAAAATTTAACGAGAACATCGCATCTCATTTACCAACGAAAGAACACAAGTAAGATAGATTCATATCATTGTCTTTATTTATTCGTTTTCTTAAATTCTTAATCTTTTATTATTTATTCATTTTTAACAGATTTGTATTTGAGGGACTTGATGCATTAATGGAACACTTGTTGGTAAATAATGCTGTCTTTATAAGAAATTTAAATACAAACGGTGTTATGAAAATGACACGTAATATTCTTGCATTACAACAAAATTTAAAAAATATTGTTGAAACACCTGGTGAAATTTCATTGGAAAGAGCTAGAAGATATTATGAAATGTTCAACATGGGACCTGTGGTATGTTTCATATTGAATTTCTTATCGTTAAACCACGTTTTAATTCTAATAATATTTTTTAAAATATATATTTAAAATATATTTAGAATATGCTGACACAAATTAAAGAGCAAGGTGCTATATTTTCATTTGAAGAATATAAGATAATGCTGGAAATTATGTATAAAATTGATCCAACAGACATGCAAACTACCCCCTCTACACGCCGTGATAGTCCATCTTCTAATAGAAGATTGTATAATGAAAATCTTTTGGAATTGAATGAATTAATGCTTGATTTCCTATAATTTATTTATTTATTTATATAGTATAGTATAATATATAGATTTTCTTAATTATTTGTATCTTTATAATTGAAATAATATTTTTTTTTTCATGAAATAATAATTTTATTTTCGAAATAAACAAGTTCGATCCAAATAGAATGATTTTTTTTGTTTTTTTTGAGTTGGGTCCCGTCGTTACAAATCAGAGCATTCCATTTATTATGGGTTTACTATGTCTCGTACTTAATATGCACGTACTTTAAATCCTGAGAAAACATTTACTGTGCCAAATAATTTTTTGATATCAGTTAATGCTGGAGCAAAAATTTTTCAAATTGGACAAAATAAATTTTTTTAAAAATTTAGGTTTAAACTAATTGTTAGGTAACATAATAATCAATCAGTGGAGACAATTCATCTTTTTTATGAAAATTTTATAAATTTTAAAAATCTTTGGGGAAATAGTAAAAGTTCAATGAAGCAATATCCAAAGTCAGGAAAGAAAAGAATGTTTGAGGAAGGATGATGACATTCAAGATATCTTTATTTTTATTTTTTATGTGTCTTCTCAACACGAAGCAAGAATTTTTTTTTACTTTCCATTATTAATTTCTTAGATGCATCATAATAAAATGTATGAGGGTTGTTTTTTTTTAATTTACTGTACATATCACGGAATTCTATCTTCTGATCATAAGGTTTCGAATAAAACTAAAGGGGGTGTTAATTGGAACTTTTTTTATTTTTGTGAACTTTACATGGTTTTTTTTTCTATCATTATTGTCTCAGAGTTTCATTCCAAAAGGTTGTTTCACGAATTTATTTGAGATAGACATTTAATTGCTCGCATAGAAAATCTCAACAATTGCACAAAGTGTTTGTTGATTTTTCTTTGATTCGGAGATAACGCACATGCTGAGCAACACAAATTCATTAAATCATTATGATAATCTATTAGAGAGAACGAGAGAAGTAGGGGAAAAAAAAAAAAAAATAAATTTTTAATAGATGGGAAAGATTTGCTAGGAAAATCAGGTTCCAGAATTGTTTTAAAAATTAAAAAGATCTTAAATACATTTTTATTCTCAGAACAAAAAAATCTTCCTTAGCAAATCTTCCCAATATTCGTCTATTCTAAAAATATTTGACTTATTTGATTTTGGATGGATGAAATCATTATTACGATTATCACGTGATAATAAACGCGTCTTGTCCATTGAAGATAGTAGAATAAAAAATTGGTAACTTTCGGATGACTAACGGGTTTAATATATTACATCCCCTAGATTACAATTATTATTGGATATGTTTCATTATTAAACCAACCAATAAATTATTATGAATGGTTTGAAAAAAAAGATATGATCAAGACGTTTTCATTAATCGGTCTACCACAATTCAAAAAAAAAAAAATAAGTTTAGATTTAAAATATTCATATATCAATCAATGTTGATGGTGCTTTATAGTGAAAAGAGAACGCGTTCATTAAATTGAATCAAAAATATATGATATTAAATCACGTGACATGCTCGCCTCTATATTATTACGAAAAATTTATTTTAAAGTTTTCATATGAAATTCTCGATCCATGTTTCCTCAAAATCTTTAATCAAAAATAATAATAATCAAAAAAGATGTCCCTTATAAAAATCTAATTGAAAAGATTTGATTTGAACAAACCAATCTTTTGAAAAAAGATCTCCTTAGCCATGTTGACTAGCGAACATTTGAATAAAAAATCTTATTACGCTTCGCTCCTAATATTGAGGATAATGGAATTTTGAAATTTAACTTACATTTAGAACTCGATCGCGTCATCCTCTTTTCAAAGATATAATGAGAACCTTTTCTTGACCTAAACCATCACAAATCCATATAAATCCTTCATTTGTCGTACCTGGGGAACCAAAAATTAAACACAATGATGGTTTAAAAAAGGTTTAACTTACCAATGGTATCTTTTCTTGCATTGGAACTTCTTAATCTATTGAGTATCGAGACACGGATTACGCCAGAATAAAAGATGTGATGTTAGAAATAAAGCATTCTTATGACAAATTTATTTCTGAAATTACTTTATATGGATGTATTTAAATTTGTGTCATTTCTAGAATATGATAGATCCGGGTAGATCCGAAATTAAGGATGAATTCGGACGCGTTATATCCGGATTTGATTGAATAAGCACAAATAGGATCCGGAGATTTCACTAATTTTGACGAGTAAACTACTCAGATTCTAAAGTGGGCATCGACCTCCGCGGTGATATCATCTGTACGAGTTACAATATTCAGGAGATCATTTCATGTAATTACAATTTCAATCTTTCGCCGAATATTTGGAGTAATCAAAAAGTTTGGATATACATAATTCCGTTATCAAAAAAAATGTAAAATACCGATTTGGACGATCCAATTTTGCTTACATCTGAAACTTGAATGAAAAGGAATTTAATTTTGCGGATGACGCGAAATTACGAACCTTCACCGTTAAATTGTAAATTCACATGAATTTTTTTTTATGGTCAAACACGCGTTTCATACGAAAGTTACCGAGAATCGAACGCGTAAAAAAAAAAAAAGAAACGAGACTTTGCCCTTTAAAATAATTGATAAAATTGTTTAAAAAGGTTCAAATGTTTCATATAACTATGCAAAGATAATATATACTGTATCAATCCTGTTTTTGACCTGCAAAGAAATGGTACATTATCTTTTATCATGGCTCGATATCAGCAAACAACAAATCCCGACTCTTCAAGCATCAAAACATTAAAACATGCGCGTATCTCTCATTAAATATAATATTTTATTAATTAATCGTTAACTCACTCATCACATACGCGTCGATCTTTTTTACAAAGTCCAAGATCGATGAAAGTAAGTTAAACAAAAAGAAAATGAAAAAAAAGAGGATGGGATTAATTTTTTAAAAAATAAAAAAATAAATAATGATTTTTTCGTACGACAAAACATGAATTCGAATTATCTGTATCGACAAGTTTTAAAGGGATCTTAATTTTATTTTTTTTAAAAAAAAAAAAAAAAAAAAAAAAAAAAAAAAAAAACCAAAAACAAAAAAGAGGGGCATTTTTTGGCATATATATTTTTTTTGAAGTACCGACTCCTACAGTACTTCCCTTAATATGATCGAACTACATGCGTTTTGTAAATAAACTGCTGATCATACCCTTAAAATTCGAATCGCTGTAAAAATTTGAAATCGCATCCTTTAAAGGATGCCGCCGTTGCAGACATGATTGTTTTCTCCCGAAATAGAGATATTTTGTTGTACCACCGGGTGAATCATTGAATATGCAAATAAATTTTGTAAATGGTGCCTTATTAATGACGAATATGTTAAATTCGGATGCGCGACTTAAATTAAATGTTCAACATAATAAACAACTTGACGTAACCTCGCAACAAACAGCTATTACGCCATTCGTACATCATGAAGTATTAAGGCTTCCAATAAGATGATTGTATTCGTTCCTAACGCTTGCATTTGCATCCTTGAATAATGATAAAGTTTTATGTTCCTCAGTTTGAAATACCCATTGCTTTATCGAGCATTCGGGTCTTTATCGAATAATAATTTACCGATAACCTACCTATATCAAAAAAAAAAGATTTAATTGAGATGGTTCTTTTTTTTAATACATCAAAGGAACCACATCCATACCTTTCAAAGATATTGCGAGCGAAAAAAAAATAATTCAATTCAACACGAACCCTATTTTACTTAAAAAAAAAAAAAAAAAAAAAAAAGAAAAGAATAGAAGAAAAAAGAAATAATGAATACAATTTAAATCGTCATGTCTTGCTTCAAAAAGATTTTCATAGGACAGTATCAGAGTACATAATGAAATCATGTTTGTAAATTCATATCCATTTTTGGTAAATTTTTTTTTTTGAATCATCATAAACCTTCATTTCAATCATTTTAAAAAAAAATATAAAAAGATAATTACCGTATGGAAAAAACGTGGACAGACGGAAAAAAATAAAAAAGTAATAAAAATTTTTTTTTATTGAGAAAAAATTTTTTCCCTTTCAAATTAGTGTTCTATCATTTTTATAAAAAAAAAAAAATTTACACTTTTTATTCTAAACGATTTTTGGTTAAATCCGACAAAGTCACACAAAATTCGTTACGTAATGCATTCACAACAAAAAATATAAATGGTTTGATTGAGTCTTTTATCAAACATTAATAATCAAAAAAAGTTCCGCCGCAATTGAATAGATAATGATTAGAAAAATACAAGATTAAGATTCTGGATTTTTGTTATTTGTTGCACACAGGTTATATATCTGACATCATTAATAAACAAATATACCTGACAGGCAAAATAAATAAGTCATGGGTGACATTATATTACTAGTTGAAAACTTGAAACCCAAATGTCTTTGGCGTGCGATTTTTCGATGCATATGGCAAAAAATGAAAGATCACGTGAAGATTTCTTTTATTTACGTATCACAGTATTACAACTGATTGAAACGCGTACGATCTAAAACCAAATTTTTACGCGTGATGTCCCTATATGATAATGCTATTCATTAGGCACTAGGTCAACTCCTATTTTATGTTTTTTTCTTTGTTCTCCCGATTTACGAGATCTAACTGATCAAGAAGATGATCAAATACACCATGTCGTCATTTGCTCGTGATGGTTGATCGATGAGCTTCTTGGATTAACTGCGCCATGTGAACGATTATACTAGGGTTATATAAGGGAAATGATTGTTACAACACAAAATTACCATTTTCAACATTTAGAACCTTACAATGCTAGAAGATTCCATAGAATTCCGACCTTTATCTCTTTTAAAGAAACTTATTCAGACAAGAACGTTTTTCACTCACACAAATTACCAACTAAGTATCTTGCAGACCCTTAACTCTTGATAAGGTGAGCTTTCGTAACTTGCGCGTGTTAGCGGTTACACAAACATGCATTTTGATCTGCGAGATGAAGACTAAACGACTCGACGCAGTTTCGCTGGGCGCATTTCATTCGATCCACGTGTTCAACACATTTTTTGGAATCGTAAAATCGTAAAAAAAAAAAAAATATTTGTTACACCTTTGAAAAACATATATACATACATATATATATAAACAATCATTTCTATTTCTGGAACCGAATTCTTTGTCAATATAAAAATTAAAAAGAGAGGGAGTGCGGACCAAAATTTATACGAGGGGTTTTGTATTCTCCATTTAGGGATTCATGATTCGTGTTTTAGCATTCAACCGGTTGTGTTTCATGAACAAAACCATTTTCCGTGGCATTCTTTCGCTTTCATTCTCATTTTTCATAGGTTATTGAACATTTATGGAAATCAATTAAAGTTGTAAAAATTTATTTTTCCCCAAAATGATATCATTCCGATGTTTAATTTGTAAACATGATCTAATAGGAAAAGAGATATTGACATACGGCTAGCTTGCAACTTGCGTCTTTTGCTGTTGTTGTTCATGAAGCCGAAAATAAAACGAGAAATAACAAGTGGTAAAGATGATTTTTTACCCGCAAAGCACAATGACATAATGTGTAACCTGCGATGTTTTAAATCGCGTCAAATTCATTACGTATTCGCGCATTTATTTTATAAATAAATAAATAAAAAAAAATGCTCTCAATTGTGATACCACCTATTTAACATTCCTTTTGATTGAAGGGGGAAAAACTAATAAATCAATTCCGAAGGTGAGTTTTTTTCAGATGAGAATGTGATAGGTTACTTGTTCGACCTAGATTTTGATACCTAAAGATTTTTTTTTTTTCTTTTGCTATCAATAATAGCATATCTATCAAACTTTATCAAACAATAATAAAATCATAATAATAATATAATAATATGAGCTCAATATAATGTGTGGTCTCGGTAAATTGTTAATTAGTATGGATAAAACAAGGGAATAAAAAAAAAAAATTTTTTTTTTTTTTTTAAAAAAAAAAATTGTCGAAAATCATTTCATTTCATTTGACCAATTCCAATTTTGCAAAAAAAAAAAATTCCTTCTTAAAAACAATAGCTTCAAGAAACTATTGTTCCTTCTACTTTCCCTAAAACATTTTTTTCTTTTTTACTTTTTTTTTTTTTTTTCTGCCTTGTTCGTCTTTTACACATTTTAATCTAATAACTCCATATTTTTTTTTTTTCGTTCCGTCAAAAAAAAAAAAAAAAATTTTAACCAGCCAATAAGATAGAATTTTTTTTTTTACGTTTGCTTACTAGTCATAATGCTAAAAGTTCGTTCACTTCCAACAAACATATATATTACAATATTTCGTAACATACCGATTTCTCAATTACCTTTGGTATCAAGGGTATGCAAAGAATGGTCTGAACACGCATGTTCCGTTCTTTACCATCGTATTGTGATCACACCATCCGTTTTAACTCATTTCATTCAACATCGATTACTTCAAAAGTACTCTTCGTACTGTAAAAAATTAATCGTATTTTCGATTAATCTCACAGAGCAACATAAATCGTTATTATTGAAGCATACTCATGATCTTAATGATGTGACATTGTTGAAATGTCATAATTTGGACGAGGAGTTCCTTTATAGTTTTACAAAAAAACATTCCACAACAATGGAAAATTTAACATTGTGGGGTCCACGGTCATTTGAATCAGGTGTGACGATTCTGACAGATGGTTTATTAAAGCCATGTTTGCCGAATATGTTAAACGTTCGTCACCTTTCGATTTGCGCGGCAAACATTTCCGATGAATTTCTACCGTTGCTCGTTTCGTCCTTAACATCCGATACTGTTCCTTCACTAATTGGGCTAGATTTAACCGAATGTTGGAAGCTAACAGCCTTCGGCGTAGCAGAGTTATTTTCCAATCATCTATCCTCATTGAGAAATGTCACGCTTCAATACCATAATGACAATGATATCGATGCGGAATTCTTCGAATTCCTGGCCTCCAACTTTGCAACGCATAGATTTGAGTATTTCGTCACAAAAAACTATCTGAGAAATAAGGTTTTACTCAATTTCGACAAAATCTCTAATGATTTGATTTCCATAGCAAACGCAAATCAAAATGTGACTGTGGTAACGAGAGAGAACGTGTGGACGGATGATGAAATCTTTGCTAAATATTGTTGAGAGATAAAACGATTAACATTAGAATAAAACATAGATTTTAGTAAATATAATATATAGTCATTTGCTGATATGAAATATATATGATTGGAAACCAATTATATATGTGACAAAAGGCAAGACAGAAAAAAGACAGATTTCTAAACAGAGAACAAAAAAAAAGGCGGGGAAAGGAAGATTAATTATTTCCTTTCTTTATTAATTAATATACTGTATTTGTAATCAAATTTTACTAACAAAAAAAAAAAAAATCTTAGCGAAACCAGAAATTTTTTTCTTGTAAACAATATAATGTCGTTCAACCAAACTTTCAATCTATTACGCATTTTTGATATGCACACGCGACAAAGTGTATCACGTGACGCATTATATTTTTAACCTTATGAATATCATATGTAGACGATCTGCATTAAACTAATGGTTTACTAAATTTAAATTGTCCCAAACCCATTTTAAAAGGTACATACATGATTAATAAGTAATTCATTATTACGAAATGTTTATTAAGTATTACATCAGAATGAAGGAATTCATTCATCTTTTCGAATATAAATTGTTTTCGACGATTTTGTTTTAAAAATTTCCTCCCCCCCAAAAAAAAACGAATAAAAAAATGAGTGAAAATTTTCTTTTATCAACCGAACCCGGATTTGCAACGACGACCAAAGAAGTTCCGGCGACATTAGATCGTAAAGCACCACTCCATCTGAAAGATCTCGGAAATGCCGGTTCGTTTTCTGTTATTTAAAAAAGAGGTTTTTTAAATAATGCGCGTTACCTTCGTTGATAATAAAATCTTATGCGTTTCCAGGATTGCCACGTGCTTGCATCGCAGCGTCTCGAGAGCATCCCAATGGTACATCTGGAAAAAGATCCAATAAAACCGCAAGTCTTAAATTTCTTTTTTTTATTTTGTAAAAAAAAGAAAATTTTAAAATAAAATTAAAAAAATCAACTTACTGATTTTTTTTAGATATTGCAACAACATGTCGAATATTTCGATACTGATGGAGATGGTGTCATTGGACCATTGGACACATTGAAAAGTATGTAATATCCACTATAATATTGATATTTCAAACCATTCCAATTTATTAATCCTTTTTTTTTGTATTAGGAACCCATGAATTAGGATTTAATATCTTCTTTAGTATTTTCGTCATGACTGTCATTCATGGTAGCTTCTCTTATGTTACCCAAAAAAGTTGGATACCATTCTTTGGTAACCCATTTTTCAATATATATATTGATAACATTCATAATGCTAAACATGGATCGGATTCCGAAGTTCTCGACACGGAGGTAATTTCTCAACTTTTTTTGCGTACTCCTTTTGAGATTGTTTTCGTTTACCAGTATGCATGAATTAATAGGGCCGATACATTCCCGAGAAATTTGAAGAGATCTTTTCGAAATATGATCGGAATAATAAAGGCGGATTGAATTTTTCCGATATCGCTCATATGATTTATGTTAATGCCAACGTATTTGATTTTTTTGGTTGGTTCTCTACCATACTTGAATGGGGAACTTTGTACCTGTTGTGTGCAGGCAATAAACGAATGATTAGTAAGGAAGATGTGAGAACATGTTACGATGTGAGTTATTTTTGTTTGCCTTAATGATTTTATATCCATGCACGTAAAAAACTGGAATTTTTTTTTTTTTTTAATGAACTATATATATAGGGAAGCCTCTTTTTTAGAATAGCAGACCAACAACAACAACAACAAGCAAACAATGTCGGTGATTGGTTGAAATCGAAAATCCCTTCTTTAAAAGCTCGATCCGAGGAATAAATTTCCCTGCTTCTCGTTTACTGGATTGAGAAATTTTTAAGTCGACAAACGCATGTGCAGTGCTTAAAGATGCTTTCATGCAAGATTTGTAAACACGGCTAAAAAAAAAAAAAAAATAAAAAATCAATGTCATGTTCAATGTTCATCAAAATTTTACTTTCTGCATATTACAGCTGCATACAGAAACCGTTTTCTTATCTCAGTGGGATTTTTTTTTTTTTTTTGGAAGAAATCGTACAGGAAACAATTTTCATTGTACAGCAATTGCTAGATATTTGGTAATTATTTAGGATTTGGTAATATGGACACGAAACATTCTAACAATATCTTTGCAGATATCATGTGTAAACGGCTTGCAATCACGCTCACATTTTTTTTTTTAGTTTCTTTAAATTTATAAAAAAATACAACAAAAAAAAAAAATAATGTACCCCTATTCAAATGAAATATGGACGGAATATATATATTATTTATGTCGCCGAAATGATTTGGGTAGCCCAACGAGTTTGTTTTGTAGATCGTTACATTTTTATTAAAAAATAAAAATATATATCGCGTACCAAAATTTAAATGAGATAATGAATGTTTTCGATGAGAATTCAACGAGATAGATCGCTAATTTCCGATGAATAGTGGTCGAGAAAATCCTTTTTCGAAAGGTTATCTCTACTTTGGATCGAATTACAACTTCTTTGGGTTACGACTTTCTGGGTCCTGTTGTAGATCGGCGGGGTCAAAAAGATGTTAATTATAAACTATGATTGTAAAGTATAATTATAAAGACAAGTGGCATTAATAATGCCAGTCATTATTTATTTTACATTCTATCCAACAATATATCGAGAATGCAATAAATATATTTTCAACAAATCACTATTTTAATGATTTGTTTCTGCTAGATTTTTTTAAGTTTGAATCAATAGAGGGGAAAAAAATAATAAAAAAATTCCTAACTTATACGAAAGAAAACATAAAACACGTTATGATTTCTTTATCTGCTATTACAAAAAAAAATACCTGATAAGTAAAAGTTATGAAGTTTGATTTCTATGATCCATGAACTCGCTAGTAATTCGAATCATGGCGATCTGAATCCGGAAAAATTCAATTTTTTTTAATTCTGGTCAAATCTCATATTTCGGCCAAAGTGCAACGTATTCATATTCAACAAAATCCGATACACCTTTTCCATCGACCATTGGATATATGCGTTATGATTTCAAAATTACCATTATTCGCACTTTCAGACATTAAAGAATTTTTTACTGCATAAATTTGATTGAATCTGATTGGTTTTTTAGGGAAGTGACGATCAGTTCAATTTTAATCACCATTCATAAATCGAATTATAGTAACAGAGAGGTTCTAGAGTGAAAATCTAGTCCTAAAATGGAAATTTATATATGCATACAGCGATCAAACTTTATTTTGAAATAAGCATTACCATTTTGTACTGAGGAATCCATATGCAAAAATGATTTTGCGAAATTTTTTGATAAATGCATATTCATTTTTATGGGTCGTTTCAACCGCACCTCCCTCTTACATGTAAGGTCCATCCGAAATTCTATGGGAACATTTGCCGAGATCACCCAGCGGCTGATTTCTACTATAATGATATTATACTGTATATTAAAAATATTACCCCATTCCTTTATCTCCCAATCTGTTCCATACCATACTAATTTTACGAATTCCGAAGCTTGTTTACATCATATCTTCAAAATCAGCAACGAAAATAGATCACAATGACAGAGTCAATGCTCAAAGTATAAGATCAACGATGATTCCTTTCTTGAAATTGGTTTTTAAAAATAAAAATTCGTTTTTAAATGATCTTCTCAATTGTGAAAGATGTGCTTGTAACATCATTTGTAAAACGAGGCGCAGTGCAATAGCATCATATGATGCCAAATTTAGGAATAAAAACACATTAGGGTTATGAACATTTGACTGATATACCCGCACCTTCTTCCTCTTTGAATCCTTTATACAAAAAATGACGGACGAATCTTTTAGTGAGAGTAATGATGCGGAAAGTTGGGTTGAGAATGGAATTGCCAACCATCATATTATTTATCATGATTACGAAGAATTTCAACGTATTCAACGCATAGATACTGAAGGATCAAGTAACGTGTACAAAGCAAATTGGAAGAGTACAAACACCATTGTTACATTAAAATCTTTTGGGACAAAAAACTGCATTACGAAAAATTTTGTTAATGAGGTAAATATATCTATTAGCGTTAGGATAATTCCCTTAGTAATATTTCATACTCACCTTTACTTTTTTTTTTTTAGTTACAATTATTACATCAAGTTAATCCTCACGAGAATATCATTCGATTCTTTGGAATTACCAAGAGAACATGTAAGTCAAAGGATTCCAACTCCGTATTTTGATTCTGTCTATGATCTGTTAACCTTCCTCCCAAGTATTAAAATATTTATCATTTCAATTTTGTAGATTCAAATTACTTGGCCATTCTTGAATATACCGATAGCGGCACGTTGAGCGATTATTTAAAAGTTAATTTCAAAAAATTAGATTGGAAGGTTAAATTACAATTCGCCACACAAATTGCCAGCGCGGTTTCATTCTTACATCAAAGAGACATCATTCATAATGACCTGGTGAGTATTTCTATTTATCAATCAAGTCTTAAAATGAATGAGTGATTTTATTTATGTATATTAATTTTTGATCTCATGTTCACGAAACAGCATTCGAATAACATCTTGATTCATCAAAATGTGATCAAATTGACGAATTTCGGTCTTTCGCGTAAATTGTCCGAGGTGACATCAAATCCCGTGACGGTCATTTTCGAAGCGTTGACTGACCTGTCATCGGATCCCGGAACGTTGGCTTATACCGATCCACAATACCTCAGAATGCAAGCGAGTACCAATGGCAAATTTCAATATGAAATTATTAAGAAATCCGATGTATACAGCGTTGGTATACTCTTATGGGAAATCTCATCCGGACGACCACCATTTGAAACTTATAATAAGGACGCGTTATTCTTAGAACTTTTAAATGGAAAAAGGGAAACCCCCATCCCTGATACACCAGCGAATTATCTTAACATTTATAAAAGTAAGTTTCATTCATTCATTCATTCATTTGTCATAATAATCATTATCTCATCATTCTTTCACTTTTATGAAATGATCTTAGAATGCTGGAGAGAAAATCCGAACGATAGACCAAATATACAACAGGTCTTTACCGAATTGAAGCAAATTAATTTGAATGAGAAATGGGAGAAATTAATGAAAGAATTGGATCAAATGCAAATGGATGAAGGTTCAACAACGGTTATTAACTCGAATGACAATGATTTGATTAATAATGAATTGTTATCATTACTTGAAAATGCCGAACAAAGTGAAAAGAAGAATAAAGAGATTAGGAATGAAGAACCGAACAATGATTACGTTCAATCCGTCAAACAGCATATAATGTTGAAAAACAAAAATGAAAGTGAAACGTTCAACTATTTATTGGAAAATGAAGATAGGCCGCAGAATGCCATATTTTTGGCGATTTGTTATCAATTTGGAATCGGGACCGAGAGAAATAAAATCAAAGCGTTTAAGTTTTATCGAGAATTGGCTGAAAAAGAACATATCATCGCGATATACTTGCTTGGATCATGTTATGAATATGGAATTGGAATTCAAAAGAATGAAATTCAAGCATTTAAATTATATAGTAAAGCAGCCAAGAAAGGTTGTGTTATCGCGACATATAGACTTGCCACGCTTTATGATGAGGGAATAGGAACCAGAAAAGATGCGACTAAAGCATTTGAATTATATCGAGAAGCAGCCGCAAAAGATCACGTTGATGCAATATATAAGCTTGGAATATGTTTTGAATATGGCAAAGGAATCAAAAAAAATGAGATTCAAGCGTTCAAATTCTATGTTAAAGCAACTAGGAAAGGTCATGTTCCAGCAATGTACAACCTCGGATTATGCTTTGAATACGGTACAGGTACCGAAGTAAATGAAAGCAATGCGTTTGAATTATATAAAAAAGTGGCCGAACAGGATCATGTTCCCGCAATCTACTGGCTTGGGGTATGTTTTGAACATGGAAAAGGAATTGAAAAAAATGAAACTATAGCATTTATATTATATCATAAAGCAGCCGGAATGGGTTACGTTATTGCGATATATAAACTTGGAATCTTTTACCAAGAAGGGATCGGAATTGCCAAGAATGAAATTGAAGCTTTTAAATCATTTGAATTGGCGGCGAAAAAAGACCACGTTCCTGCAATATATAACCTTGGATTATGTTATGAAATTGGTATAGGAACGGAAGGAAATAAGATTGAGGCGTTTAAATTATATAAAGAAGCGGTTGAAAATGATCACCTTCTTGCAACCCATCAACTCGGACTGTGTTATGAGAATGGAATTGGAACTAATAAGAATAGAATCAAAGCATTTCGATTGTATAAAAAAGCAGCCGACAAAGGTCATACACTTGCAACCTATAAGCTTGGATTATGCTATGAAAGTGGAAGTGGAACTAGTAAAAATAAAATTGAAGCATTTAAATCATATAAAAAGGCGGCAAAAGAAGGTCATGTCGATTCAATGTTTAAGCTTGGATTTTGTTACGAAAATGGAATAGGAGTAAAGGTGGATGAGTTTGAAGCCTTTGAGTTGTACGAGCAAGCGGCCGAGAAGGGTCATGTTCTCGCTAAATATCAACTTGGGTTATGCTATGAATACGAAATAGGTACCGAAAAAAATCAAGAATATAAAAGGGCGGCTCAGGAAAGTTGTGACTTGATATATTACCTTGGTAATTATTACCAACGAGAAACGAGAACTAAACATGAAATTAAAGCATTGGAATTGTATAAAGATGCTGCTAAGTCTAATCATATACCCGCGATATATCAACTTGGATTATGTAATGAAAATGGCATAGGTACAGAGAAAAATGAAAAGAAGGCGTATAAGTTATATACAGAAGCGGCCAAGGCAGATTATGTTATGGCAATACATAAACTTGGGTTGCTTTATGAAAGCGGAATAGGAACAAAATCAGATAAAATTCAAGCGTTTAACTTATATAAAGAAGCGGCTAAGAAAGATTATGCACCTGCAATATATAATCTTGGATTATGTTATGAATTTGGAATAGGAACTGACAAGAACGAAACCGAAGCTTTTAAAACGTATAAAGCAGCAGCCAAAAAAGGATATGTTGCTTCAAGATATAAACTTGGCTTTTGTTATGAATATGGAATAGGGACGAGACAAAGTGAAACTGAAGCATTCGCGTCATACAGAGAAGCAGCTATAAAAGGTCATCCTGATTCAATATATTATCTTGGAAAATGTTATCAACATGAAATAGGAACCGAACAAGATGAATCAAAAGCGTTGGAAATATATAAAGAAGCGGCTAGACAAGGTCATGTTGATTCAATATATTGTCTTGGAATATGTCATCAGTATGGAATCGGAACAAAAAAAAATGGAAAGAAAGCATTTGAATTATTCACGGCAGCGGCTAAAAAAAATCACGGTCTTGCAATATCTCAGCTTGGATTATGCTATGAGAAGGGAATTGGAACAAAACAGAATATTATTAAAGCGTCTGAATTGTATAAAGAGTCTACAAAAATATAATTAACAAATTTTATATATACGTTTTTAAATTTTATAATTATAAAATATTGAACATTGATTTTCTTGTAAAAAAATATTCTATAGTAAATAAATAAACAATTGAACATTTAAGTTAACCATTTGTTTTTGTTATGTGTATTATATTTATATATTTATATATTTAATGTACGGAAGTGATGATTCCTTGACAAGAAATGAATAACAAACATACTTTCTCTTTAAGAGATCTTTGACCAAATTCGTCCTTTACTAGACGAACAACATACAATCAAGCTATTTGATATAATGATTTTTTTATTTAAAAGCTTACCTTTTTTTGACAAAAATTTAAGGCTTGTAAGCCAGCTCGAATCGAGCATGAGAGCCTAATTTATAGTAGCTCGAAATTACTCGGCTAATGCGTAGCTTTAATAACATTGCTAAAAATCGGCAACAATATTTGTCTTAAATATGGATCTTATTAAGTGAATTAATTTGGCTATACTGTCAATAATTCTTTTATCTCACCTTCCTTAGATGATTTTAAGTTATTTGCTATTTGTTATTTACATCCTTCCCCTCCTTTTACAACAGCTATGCTCGTTGAATTTGTAATATTAATAAATAATATAATATGTTAACTTAAATAAGTTGTGTTTCCATTTAGAAATCTAAAATTATATCATAAAATTCAAGAAGGGAACAATGAAAGCGGATACAATTTGTATTAAGCATTTAGAAGTGTCGCAACCAAATATCGAAAGTAGAAATGTAGAAAGTACTTTTGACCTACATGTTTTGGTCATCTTTGACGATGAAATTTAATTTTTTTTGAACTTCAATGGAGGAAGCCTTTAGAACTTTAACAGAACTTTCTTCTGGTTTTTTAGTAGATGATTCTAGACTTACCAAGAGTTGTTGGATGACGCAATCGTCCTGAAGAATGTTTTTCAATCTTAATCAGTTGGGTCAAAATCATTTCTGATTATAAGATAGCGTTTGGTTATTATCTCTTACCCTCAAGAGGTATACAGAATTGGTTATCTACTATTGATAACACTCGGAGATTTCGATGACAATTCATAAACAGTACCCGAGCATTCGTAGGATTTTTATTGTGCCAGTTTCTTTTAATTAGATCAGGCTGTTGGTTTTCTGGTAAGTTAAAGATCCAGTCTCGCAGGAAATTGGATCTTGAGTCCTCATAAAAGTAGAGAACTTTAACACTCTTTGAGGCGGATCATTTATTCATATTTAGGATCACGTTCTGTTGATTGTATATGCTGTATTCATATTTTGAAAGTCTTTCTGTAATGGCTGAGACATAATTCGAGAATTCAATCTGAGAATGTTTGAAAAAGTCTATCCTTTCGTAAGTACTAAGATTTTTAGCTAAAATTAATTCGTTCCAGAATCCATTATACTGTAAATTAGTAGAATAATTAAGTACAGTAGAAAATAATTCCAAAAATATTGCCCAAGTTGGATCGGGTTCTCAAGATATTCTTCTGATAAATGTGCGCTGACAACATAGATCATGATATTTTATACTTTCAAGTCTTGAGATAGAAATTTTAACCACAAAAATTCGAGGCGATGTTTATCTGAAATCCAGTGTTTGTTTACTAAAAATAACATGACAATATTTGCTTGTCTTTTTTTTATCAAGATATCCTTATAACATTAGATGCAAAAAAAAAAGAATAAAATTTGTAAAATAAGACAGGATCCTCAATTTATAAAACAGAAATTAGGTATTCAAATCATCAAAGTGAAAAATTTTTTGAGATGATCGAAAGGCAACTTTTTCCTAACATTTCCACTCAGCAAATAAATGAAGCTTTAATTTTATCGGCCACCAGTTGGATCAAGTGTTCATTGAAAAATTCCTTGACAAAATCTTTATTAGTAATAAGAAAATACCTTTCATCTTTTCAAGAGGGTTTTCTTTGTTCAAGGAAGACATCAAAAAAAATTTTAAGGAAGCATTCATCTGCTAGATTAAATGATTGAAATATGAGAGGAACGCTACTTGGCATAAATCTAAATTATTAAAAACTATACATTTTGTAGATAAATTACCGATCTATTTATTATGACAAACAAAAATAATCATAAAAATAGAATTACCATGATCCTTCTGTATTTTACATTAATTTATACTTTTTAGAAAAATCTCGCATATGCGATGATGCTTAATTTAGTTTTAAATAATCAGAATTTATTATTTTTCAAATATTAAAATTACTTCAAGCATCAAAACCTTCTCCTACATTAATACTTGATTGTATTATAGAGATACCATATATATTACAATATTTTGAATATGCTCGTTCACTTTACAAATGTATCTTAATTAATCGTTTGATTTAAGAATTATCATCATACATAAATATTCAAAACATTTATGGTAAGGTATATAAAAATGATTAATTTAAATTATTATATTATTAAAAAAGCTAATTCGGAATTCAGAACTTTAGTTTCAATTAATTAATCTTGTACTATATCTAAATCTTATACTAAAATTAAAGGTTAAGTTCAATTTACAGAAGAATCCATTTCCAATAACATAAATTCTATATCTATTAAGAGACAATAAAATAAAAAATTTTAATATTATAAAAAATTATAAAATAAAATATAAGTTTATTCAATAAATACTAAAAGCAAAATACAAGTTAGTAAAGAAATTATTATTTTTACTAGACCTTTACTCTTACTTATTTAAATTTATTTTTATACATATAAACTGTACTATACGATCAGCTAAGCCAGGGTTGGCATTGGCCGTGACCATGGCCATTGGCCTGGCCAAAATTGGTCAGCCAAAAATTTATAAAAATTTTTTGGCCGCTTTCGACTTCCCCTGCGTACCCATCAAAAATGTCACGAAATGGCCCGGCATCACGGCATTTGGCTGGAATTAATTGTGGCGCGCATGTGACGTATAGTTACAATTAGATTTTTAATTACTGAAAAATTCTAAGTCCCCATAATTATAATACTTAGTAAAAATGAAAACGCGAAGGGAAGTGACACCGGTGACAAATTATATCACGTGAAATTTCGTGACATTTTTTGATGGTACGCAGGGGAAATCGGTCCTTTCTTAATTATTCCGATTTTTTTGTGGCCAAGATTTAACCTTGTTCATAAACATGTCCTTTACGTTTATTTGCTGGAGTCTTTTTCCGTTAGGATTGGAAAGACCAAGTATGTTGGGGATCTTAAAAATACAATTAAAAAGGTAAATGAGCAAACATTTATGAATATCGATGCTTCTGAATTGAGGCTTTGGAAAGTCGAAATTCCCTGTTGACAACGAAGAAGAGCTTCAAAATCTTACCCTACAAGATAATGAAGCGTTGGCTGGTGCAAGGGAGATCAGACATTATTGGGACTCTACGCCACCCAAAAAAAATATACATATAATCATAAAGCCGCCTGCTACTGGCAAGTATTACCAACGTACACTATTCGAATTAACGTTTGTATACTGTTTATAGCGTATGATTTTTTCCACATTCTTTCATTCCAGCCCCAATTATCCAAACCTCTCCCTACCTTTCACAAGATTCCATCAAATTGATGAAATATACAAAAAAATTACTCAACCGGCTATTGAAACTATATCCATCTCCAAAGTCAGTTCAGAGAACTTCCGACTCTTTAAAGCTCATCTTAATTTCAAGCTTAAAACTGTCTTCTTCGATAATCTACCTACACCTAGTAAAGTATCAATACAAGCTTTTAAATGGATCGAGAAACAGTCGGAACCCGTATATAAGGAAGAATATATGAATTGGCTACGTGAAAACATTCCTTTGACCGGTCATCGTGTTTGGCATGATGTTGAAATTAACAAACAATTACTAAATTATAAGAACCCCAGGTTACCATTTATTATTCATGGTGGAACTGATGTGGTTGTTGTAAATGACTTTGATATAAAAGGTAAGACGGTCCCAGAAGGTATTTTTGCGGTGCTAGAATTGAAAAAAAAAATAGAGAGGAGACATCTGATGCAGGTCATTTTAGAAATGTTCGTTTTCGATTCACTTACTTCTAATGATAGGAAAGTTTTTGGAATCTTATCAAACCTTATAGACGATTGGCACATCTTATGGTATGACATGAAAATAAAAAATTGGGTGGCACCAGTCGGGCTATTGCAGTTGAGGTGATAAGTAGGCTCTTAAGAGATAGGTCTGGTGTCGATATGGAGGATACATCAATAATCATTCCGGGCTCCATTCGTGTCAAGTTGGATACCTTGTTGCCTGTTCATACCTCCTTAATTGATGATGTTGCTCGGATGGAGGATGTATATGATGTCATGTCAAAGGAGGAAATCTGGCGTCATAAAGCTGGAATTGCTTCAGATATTGTCAGAAACATGCCTTCCTTTATGTCAATAGATGCAGAAGTGTAGATGATGGATTTACTTGGGTTATGTAATTGCAAAAATTAAGAGTATTAAAATTTTTTAATAAATTTGAATCTTTGTTACTAATCGGCATATTTGTGAATTTTTTACCGCATCGTGTGGAAAATATATATGTCACGTGTGGTGGGTCTCGTCAATTCGTTAAACGTAATCGGATTTACTTCAAGCTTAAGCGCAAGTGATGAATCTATTTATCTTTATTGTTATCACTCCATAATTGGAAATAATTACGTCGTAATCATATTACATGATCCCAAAAATTCCCGTGCTATCATAAATCATTTATCAGACTCCATCGATTAATCACTTCTTTTTATGAGAGCAAAAGCGGATAAATACTCTCCGAGTTTGATCATCATATTCCCACATGATAGTATAGTATTTATTATCAATTTATCGGAATGAGGAAAAAAAAGATTTCTGATTTCATTATGGGGATTGATCTTGACTAATAATTTCCGAAATTTCAACACTAACTATTCCTGTTTTTATAGAGAAAGCGGGAATATCAGTTGTCCAGACTTTGAAATATTGCTTTACTAGTTAAAAAAAAAGTGATTTGTTTTGACGAAAAAATGCGGCGTCGAAATCATGATGGCAAAAATTTCTTGGAAACCCGTATAATCGGCGTAACCTGTCACACATTCCGCACGTGCATTTGTAAACCTTCTTTTTAGAAATTACTAATCATATTTAGTGTTTATGTGTGTTTAGTCGGATGATACAAATTGTAATCATTATGTATGAGTAATTTCGTAATTTTGCGAGTATGATCTGGAACGTTGATTTTTTTTATAAAAAGGGCTTAAAGAACCTCCCTCTTCAATTTTATAATTTTTTTTTTTACCCTTTCAAAAGCGTTTTTCTTTTGTTTACATTTTACAGGATATAAATTTTATTTTTCGATTACAAAATATTTAAACATGCAAATCTTCGTTAAAACTCTTACTGGAAAGACGATTACTCTTGAGGTTGAATCTTCAGACACCATAAATCAAGTAAAAGCAAAAATCCAAGATAAAGAAGGAATTCCCCCAGACCAACAACGTCTTATTTTCGCTGGTAAACAACTCGAGGATGGTCGCACCCTCTCCGATTACAACATTCAGAAAGAATCTACCCTTCATCTTGTTCTTCGACTTCGCGGAGGTATGCAAATATT